CAATGCACTAGTTCCAGTGGTGGCTCAGCTACTGGAATTAATGAGTTCTGAAAAAAAAAAAACAAAACACAACAAGAAAACAGAACACTTCCTCTTTATGTAAACCAACATGAATTCACTACTGTTAGGAGGGCGAGGACAGAAAGCAAGGAGACATTTTGTTTCTCTTGTTTGTTTGTTTGTTTGTATGCAGAGATCACATAACCCTAGTAACTGCATCTCATTTAAAGTCCTGCTCTCCTTTGCCTCAAGTGTGCCTCTGAATTCAGTAAGCTTCTATGAAATCCTCTCCAGTCCCCGCAACCACATCACACTGAGCTCTATAGCTGAGCTGAGCACGTCAGGCTTATTCTCTGAGAACAAAGATTTTACTTTTTTTCCCCTCCTACCTCTCCCTAAATATTTTTCTTTCCCAAGAGTAAAAACACTTTCCTGGAGTCTCTTTCATGATTTTTCCAGACAATATGCAGTACTTTGGCTACCTTTTTTAACTACCTAGAATATTTCAACCCTTAGGTAAGCAGCAACTTTAGCAACAACAAAAGTCTTACAGAGTATCACACAGTTTTTCTTTCATTATTTTTCAGAAGCAATGCAACTTTTTGGAAGGTTTTAATGACTTGAGCTTTGACCTGCCATAGCACATAATTAATTAGTGTGTATGCTTTTGTACATTTTCACAATTGAGGGTGGCATCGTATCTAAACGAAGCATCTAATCATAAGAATCCTTAGACATAGCTTATACGGTCTGATTTGGTTCAGGATTTTTTTGTTATTAATATTATCGTTGTTATTATTACTATTATTTGAAATGTTATCATGCTAAGAAATTGTTACTAATTCCATTCTTATTTATTATGACAGGCACCTACTAAAAGAATTTGAATAGACTGAGTTCATGTAACAGTGACAAATGCCCCCTTTGCCTCCTCCCTACCCCCCAAAAAGACAAAATCAGTCCCATTTATTATTTTATTATTTGTTATTATTTTGTTCTTCATACAAACGTGAAGCAAGCTGAGGCTTTTCCGGGCCATGAGTAACAAGCCCTGACCACAAGGTCTGTTTGCAAACACTCTATTTGCATTTTCAAATTTGTTACAATGCCACTCCAGCCCAATTCCCCCTTAGCGGAAAAAACCTCGGCTGTATGCCTTTAGCCAAATTTCCTGTTGCAGTTCTTATTCTCCCCTCCTCCCAGCAGGAACCTTTTACTCAAGGCCACATTAATCTTCAGTGAAAAGAAGAAACACAAAGACTTACAGAAGCCTATCTTGGAACATTGAATACGCCTTCAGTGAACTCACCTTTTAACAAATGAAAACAATGGTTAACACAAAGGTTTCCTTAATTCCTTTAATTCCATCATCTCTTTCAAGCAGTGGTGGACATCAGTTTTCTTTCAATTAAAGGCTGGTAGAATTCCCTTCACTCAGTAGTTCTCCATGTAACGAAGCCAGCCTGTCTTCCTCTGCACTTTCTCAGTTCAGACTAGCTTTTTCCTTTCCTTATTGACCTGACCACCCATGCCATTCATCTGCAGGGTTTGTCAATGACTTCTCTGTCAAGTAGCAAGGTGAGTGTCAGTCTCTTCTCCCAGGTAACAGGTGATAGAACAAGAGGAAATGGCCTCAAGTTGCACCAGGGGAGGTTTAGTTTGGGCATTAGGAAAAATTTCTTCACCGGAAGGGTAGTCCAGCATTGGAACAGGCTGCCCAGGAATACCCTGGAGGTATTTAAAAGGCATGTAGATGTGGTGCTTAGGACATGGTTTAGTGGCAGTGTTA